CATTTTTGTTCATTCGCTAACTCAAGTGAACGATCTCGAAATGAGTCTCCCATGCTAGTTTTTGAAGAGGTTCTTGATGACAGTTATCATCACCAGCGAGAAATCTTTACCAAGTCGAATCTGACGCCATAATCTCTTCCATGCGTCGGCGGGTCTGCCGAAAGATCCGCAACCTGCAACGCCCCCAAACGTTATTCTTGTATCTAGATATAAATAGTCGTCGACACCTTTGACCATCAAATACGGCCACTGCGATGGGTGGGTGGGAATTTGCCTATAAGCTTTTTCCCAATCGAAAAGCGCCAACTGTACCGGTTCTTTCAAGGCCTTAAAGAACCCCGCGACAATGCTAAAATCGTCCCATGTCGTTTGGAAATCGTCTTTGTCGACAAAAGAGTTTACCGACGGTACGTTGGGGTCACCGTGTGGAAAGGATAAATCGTTTATAGGTCTGACTGAGCCATCGCCATTTACGACTGCCCCTAGGGGGCTCGTCCTAAAAAATCTAAACCTGTCTCGGACTTCATTGTGCAAAAATGGACCGAACATTCGACCGGCTTTCAACTCCTTCTCCATAGAAGCTGATATCTTTTCTAACGCCAGCTTTGACGACATATGGTTGTCGGGTGTGAACCACTCCATTCCTGGGATCTTGTGTTCTGGTATTCCTTGGTGGAAGCCATGCTTGAAACCGTGTAATACGTCGCGGTAATCCCTTAGGATACCTGCTTTCTTCAATGCCTCACTCCACAATGCAATATTCATCTCACATCGAACACCTGAAGGCCATTTCAAATTTGAAGGGTCTTGTCTTTTTTTTTTTTTTTTTTTTTTTTTTTTTTTTTAATCATCCATAGGTAGAAACCGCAAAAAGCGGCAGAGATTACACAAAGGATAGAAAGGAGTAGAGATAACAGAAATGTTAATAACAGAAACCATCATAGAAAAGAAAAACAACTCCTTGTTGGGAAGAGCTTGGGATAAGTCTTAACAACAATGTACGAGGTAATCTCTCGTATATACTCTCGAAGAACACAGAGAAAAAACAATGCCATTTCGGCTCGGACGAGGACAGATAGAAAAGAAGGCTAGAGCTCAGAACACCAACACCTACTTATTTGGGTGTCCTTTCTTCCCGAGTGTGTTTGCGTGTGCCTCGTTTCTTCCTTGAAAATTATTGGAATAATTGCCGCCTCTGTAACCACCCCTAGGCCGCTTGTTGTTGTTTGGATTATTATTGTTGCTGTTGTTGTTGTTCTGGAAGTGGAAAGCATTATTGTTTCTGTTCATGTTGTGGTTGTTGTTGCTGCCATAGGGGTTGTTTGACTGATTTACCCATTGTCCGCCCGAGATTGGGTTATTAATCATGGAGTTGTTCTGATAACCGTTATTGGGATGGTTACCGAACTTTGATGGTTTCAGATAGCCCGTCAATGGGTCTTGGCCACAGTGTGATAACCCAGGGGCGTATAGATTCTCTTCCCATTCGAGCTCGCCAAAATTTCGGCAGACGTTATAACACTGTTCGACGACAGATTCTTTACGTTGCGATATATCAGGGATTGCGTTCTTGACGTCTTCATCCGTGATCCGATGAGAGAAAGTATTATTTCTTACTTCCATGTCGTAACGGAAAGCGACCATGAAACCAAATTCTTCGGTAATATCATCACAGTTATTCTTGTGGGTCGCAAGCAGCTTCGAGAATTTCTTGATCTTGTAAACGTCATGGAGTGTCTTGCAGAAAGCGCGGTGGTTTCTAGTCCACTGTGCATAAGTCTGAGTCCATTCTTGCACGAAGGCAAATCCTTTATATCCTCCGGACTTTTCTTTATCGCTAGACGAATCATCTGATCTCTGCCGGCGGTCTAGGTGATGCGCCATGGCTCTTTGTTGCCATTTCCGATTAAAAATTGTAAGTGGCAGCGGAGATCTGAGTTTATGGATGTTCTCGTCTAAGAACGGTGCAAAACCGACACTATTGTGGTTTGTCACCGTCCCGATAGCGTAGACTAGGTCGCCTTCGGTTAAGAAAAATTTTTCTGGCGTCTGGGCTGGTTTGCTTTCGATACATGGTAACGCGGGGGCTAGTTCCTGGTATATGACTCCGCCTGATGCTGTGCGAGTTGGTAAAGCAAAGACATCGGCTTCTGCTTTCTTTGCGGGGATCTTGGGCTGATTCGCGCCGATGCGGCCTATCGCGCCGAATAGCATCTCAGCTAGGGACTCGTCGCCTGCGTCTTGCGCGGCTAATGCTCGGTGCCACATGTTTTGTCGTTCTGTCATAACAGACGAGACCGCAATGGCTATTTGAAAATGTGTTGGTATGTTAATATCACACTTCAACCGTACGTATGCTTTGACAGGAGGGAGTTCTACTGCTCGCTAACCTGGGGAATTATCCTCGTCGATCTCCTCTTCATCAGGAGTCGCGGCTATAGCGGACTTCTCTTTGGACAGTTCCTGTAATGATGCCGCGGGGGCTCGGTCTCTGCGTAAATCGCTTGCATCATGGGGGTATACGGTGTCAATGACTACTGTCCCTGAAATGGTATGTAAAGTGTATTTTTAATATGCGAGTTTCAACGCTCCAGAAGATTTCCTAGCTGGAAAGTAAGTTGGAAGGATACAGTACTTACCGTCCTCTCGAGTGTTCTTATTCATTGCTTTCCCACTATTGAAAGAGCCGCTACTATGAGCTTGGCCATGTGCGTGCATGATGCTCGACGCGCTGCCGCTGTGGGCTTGGGTTGATGCCGGCAAAGGGCTGCCGCTGTGGGCTTGAGACGTGGTGTTTGTTGGTGTGGCTGGTGTCATGCCTAAAGCGCTCGGTTGTGGGACTAGGGCGTTCGCGATTGAGATGTCGTCGCTCTTGTTCTTCAAGGACGCGGTATCTTTGATTTTCTTTGAAGTCGCTCGTGTGTTGTTAGTTTCGACCATCTTTGGTTTGGTAGTAAGCGAGAGTGATTGGTTCTGGAAAGTGAGTGGGGAGTGTCGAGAGTGTGTAAGGGGAGTTTGGTTTAGAAAGTAAGGAAAAAATTTATTAGATAAATTAAGTGAAAGGATGTATAGGATGAGTGATAAGATTAAGTTTTCGGATGAGAGAAAGTTTGTGGAAAGTCTGAGTGGGATTCTTTATAAGGGGAAGGAAAAACTTTCTTCGAGCGCAAATTAGTCAGATCTGTTTTGAACCAGACTGGGACTATTTTGTGCTTGCCTAAAACTAATCTTATTCGCACACATGGACCCCAGCTCCTTCTCATAGTGCCTTGGTCAGGTGCTATACATGATGAGACAGGAGGGCTTATCTGACTGTGGCATTCATACTATACCAGCCTTGCTTGGTTTTGCATACGTATTAATATAAACTTTCAAATCTCAAGATTTTTTTGTCTTAGTTTTTTTTTGGGCCTTAATAAAAAAACAAAGTTTTTCCGCGTTTACACGCGGTTTTGCTGCGGCACAGCACACGCGGTTTCCACATTTAAACACGGTTTCGTAGTTAATTTTTTACCGCTTATTTTTTTAGTTTTTTCAAAATTTTAAAATTTATTCCTACACTATGAAGGGTGTAGAATTTAATGGTAAAGTCCATTTTCCATAAAAATGACTTTGGTTTTTTTTTTCTGCTCACTCATTTTTACAATTAAATGTTACTGGCTTGTTTTTCACTATTTTTTGACATTGTAAAATTGTTTCCTACACTTTGAAAGGTGTAGAATTCAATGGTAGTATTTATTTTGCATAAAAATGATTTTTATGCATTGTAATTTTTGTTCCCACTCATTTTTTCAATTAATTGTTAGCGGCTTGTTTTTCATTATTTTTTGACACTGTAAATTTGTTTCCTACACTTTGAAAGGTTTAGAATTTAATGGTAAAATTTGTTTTTCATAAAAATGATTCCTTTGCGTTTTAATTTTTGCTCCCACTCATTTTATTGATGCAAGCACAGTGGAAAGTTCCTGGTGGTTATTCAACCTTCCAAACTTGAATTTATCAATGGGAAAGGGTAAAAAATGCTATAATATTCTAGTGAGGCCAAATTTGGATTTAAAAAAGAGTGTGGGCATAAAAAAGCGTAGTTTGGATTTTAAAATGAGAAGAGGGACAATAGCAGGAAATCAGAGGAAGGTACGGAGAACAGTAATGAAAAAAGTTAAACAACTTCAACAGGAGCCTTTTTGAAGCGCAAAGATCTTCTGACAGGTGGGTACAAGACTTCTTGACCCAGTTCAACATGGGCTTGAATGTAATCCTCCCAACCCAGCGCTTCATCCCTGACATAGTGACTCCAAAATGTATCAATCCTGGGGCATGGCCAGATTTCAGCCTTGAAAGTGAACGAGATGAAATGAGAATAGTCAGGTAAAAGGATCAGAACAATGGGAGGGTTGTTTCTTGGAGTATGAGAAAGAGGAAGATAAGTTGCAGGCATCTTTTCCGATAATAAAATAACCGGTCTTTGGTACGTATCAGCTATTAAATATCCATGCGCAGGGAACATCATCCAGTACTTGAGGGAGGCTTGCTGTTCCTTGTCTCTCCATGCGAGCAAATCGATGACATCTTTTCGGTTGTCCCCTGCTCCCCATACATCATCCAAGAACTTTTCATCCAAATAGGCCTTGTTTGACTCAAATTCCTTCTGCATTTCCTTGCGGATTGAGTCCCATTTGTCAGACTGGCGTCCCAAGCTGACCGCTGTGGTAGTCAAAAATGTGAAGAATTAAAAGTTTTTTTTTTCTTATATATATGTATAGGGCCTTAATAAAAAAACACGGTTTTTCCGCGTTTTGACGCGGTTTTGGCTGCACGCAGCACACGCGGTTTCCGCATTTAGACGCGGTTTTTTAATTAATTTTTTATGGGTTATTTTTTGAGTTTTTTTGAATTTTTAAAATTGTTTCCTAGGTTTCAAAGCGCGTAGAATTTAATGGTAAAAACCATTTTCCATAAAAATGAGTTTTAATTATTAATTTTTTTTTTCTACTCATTTTTTCCATTAATTGTATGCATACTTGTTGTTACCTTATTTTTTATGCTTTTTTGAAATTTTAAAAATATTTCCTAGGTTTCAATGTGCGTAGAATTTAATGCTGCAATCCAATTTTTTTAAAACTCAACAGTTCACTTTTAATACTCAAATTACACCCATTTTTTCACTTAAATTTTTAGAGCTTAATTTTCATTCTTTTTTGACATTTTAAATTTTTTTCCTACGCACTTCAAGACATGTATAAAATTATGGTAACAGCAATTTTTCCCCAAAGTGAAAAATATACCTTGAATGCCGCATTTGACACGTTTTTCAATTAATTCATCACTTTTTCACTTAATTGTTTGCATACATGTGTGTACCTTATTTTTTATGCTTTTTTGAAATTTTAAATTTTTTTCCTACATTAAAAAGTGTGTAGAATTCAATGGTATAATTCAATTTCCATTAAACCCAACAGTACATGCTGAATACTGTAATTAGCCATAATTTTCAATTGATTTTTAACAGCTTAATTTTCATTCTTTTTTGACATTTTAAATTCTTTTCCTTATGAATTTTCATCAAAATGAAAACTATGTCTTGAATAATGCCTTTGACGTGTTTCCAAAATTCATTCTTACATGCGCAATTATCCTTATTTTTTGGAATTTCAAGCTCATTTCCTACACTTTGAAAGGTTTAAAAATTGATGGCTGTATCCATTTTGCATTCAAAAAAAATTTGTAGATGGTACAAATTATGCAAGAAACGGGGTACGCTCATCTATTAAGATTGAAGCTTATATTTTTAGTGAAATTGGACTTCACCATTCAACTCTACACATTTTTAAATGTAGGAAATGAATTTAAAATTTCAAAAAATTCTTAAAATCAAGCCGGTAAAAATCAATCAAAAAATCATTAAAAAAAACCTGTCCAACACAGTATTCAGTAGCAAGCGCTGATTTTTATGTAAAATGGTTGTTACCATCATTTTAATCATGTCTTAAAGTGTGGGAAATAAATCTTAAATGTCAAAAAATATTGAGAAATAACATGTGAAGAATTAATTGAAAAAAGTGTCTAGTTTCAGTATTAAAAATGAACCTTTGCGTTGTAAGAAAATTAGATGTTACCATTAAATTCTACACACTTTGAAATGTAGGAAACAACTTTAAAATTTGAAAAAAGCATAGAAAATAAGGTACACACATGTATGCAAACAATTAAGTGAAAAAGTGAAGAATTGAATAAACAAAACGGTGTCAAATGCAGTATACAAGATGTAGTTCTCATTTTGGTGCAAAATTATTTTTACCATAAATTTATAAATGTCTGAAAGTGTAGGAAAAAATTTAAAATGTCAAAAAAGAATGAAAATTAAGCTCTAAAAATTTAAGTGAAAAAATGGGTGTAATTTGAGTATTAAAAGTGAACTGTTGAGTTTTAAAAAAATTGGATTGCACCATTAAATTCTACGCACATTGGAACCTAGGAAATAATTTTAAAATTTCAAAAAAGCATAAAAAATAAGGTAAAAACAAGTATGCATACAATTAATGGAAAAAATGAGTAGAAAAAAAAATTAAAAATTAAAACTCATTTTTATGGAAAATGGTTTTTACCATTAAATTCTACGCGCTTTGAAACCTAGGAAACAATTTTAAAAATTCAAAAAAACTCAAAAAATAACCCATAAAAAATTAATTAAAAAACCGCGTCTAAATGCGGAAACCGCGTGTGCTGCGTGCAGCCAAAACCGCGTCAAAACGCGGAAAAACCGCGTTTTTTTATTAAGGCCCTATATATATATATTTTCTCCATATTATCACCCAATCTCTTTCAGAAATCACACCCTACGGCTCAAGAACCAGACTCTACGGATAAATTCACCCTTGGTCACCATGGAGGCGTCACTGGAACACACCTGGATCAGCAATTATCCCAAGATGGACAACATATCACACGGATTTCACCCACCAATGCCAATTACAACCCTCAAGCTACACAGACACCCTCAGTACAGTACAACCCCACATTTACATATACAACTCACTTACAAGACACTACATTACATCTACACATCTTACATTTCCACTTATACATATTACATAACTCATGCATGCAGTCTAAATTAGTGACACCCTCAGTACAGTACAACCCCACATTTACATATACAACTCACTTACAAGACACTACATTACATCTACACATCTTACATTTCCACTTATACATATTACATAACTCATGCATGCAGTCTAAATTAGTGTATTTTCTGTAAGGTCCATTCCACTTGTTTTCAAATAATTTTCCCCATTGTGAGTCCAAGGATTTATTGTATACTAATACCAGTTCTCCTTCCTTTAGTGGTTTCCTTGTTTTCTTCTTTTTGTTCCAGTACTCCACAGAAGTTGTCCTTGTATCCAGTAATTTTTGATGAGCTTTTTGCAATACAGAGTCCCTGTTTTCCAACTGTTTCACCCTGGCTTGAAGAAGGTCTTGAGTTGTTTTCACCTGGTCCCAGTCCACTCCAAAGAAGGTTTCCAGCTCCAAGTCTATTGGCAAGATGGGAGGTTGTCCAAACACCAGCTCATATGGGGAGTATCCTGTGGACCTTTTTGTGGAAATTCTGTCTGCAAATAAGACCAAAGGTAAATAATTTCTCCACTTTTTTCCTTCTTGGCCACAGAGCTTGACCAGAGTATCCTTGAGAGCTTGATGGCCCCTTTCAACCATTCCATTGGCTTCTGGGTAGTAGGCAGTGGTAACTTTGACATTGATTCCTTTGTCTTTGAGGTTTTGCTGAAATTGTTGACTGAATTCTGATCCTCCATCCACAGTGACTGAGAGGGGAGCGCCATACCTGAAAATCCAATCTTCCTGGAACCATTGAGCAATTTTCTTGGCTTGAATTTTCTCCAGTCCAATGGCTTCTGACCAACCAGATAGGTCATCTCTGG